AGAAGGGGTTTCCTCGACCTGGGTTGTTTGAGTGTTGCTTGGGCACTGGAAACGTCTTTGGTTCTCTTCCTATAAAATAAAAGCAATTGAAAACATAAAGAATTGAGATCATAAGATTGCAAAGATAGAAAAAATATCTTTTTGTTTTCCTTACCCTCATGTATAGGAGTTTCGACCATGACATGACCTATGTTGACATGAAGGTGGCCATTAAAACTATACAAGTCCATCTTAGTTGAAGTCACTCACTGTGCAGGTTTTAGACACTCATTTTTATGTATCTTCAAAAATTCCCAGAAACGAACCACCGTAGAAACAGAGGGGCGAAAGCTAGAACCATTTTGGCGATGGGCAAAGGGGGAAATCTAGAAGTGTAATGATTGAGGGTGACCTTATATTTTTCCTCAACGTACATATGAATATCTAAACTGGGAAGCTTCATCTGCATCTTTTCTTTCAAAGTTACTGCTGCCTCACAAATCGTTTGACTAAGATCATTCAAGTCGTGTACAGTCTCAAAGTACTTATGGAAAGCTTGGATCTCTTTGATTTGTTTAGATATACCTTTCTGAAATTTTTGTCGTAAAAAGGAGAAAGCGTCAATGATATGTTGGCTTATTATTGCTGTATCCATAAACTCTTGTGCATAATAGGCTATCCACTAAGTATCAAACTATTGGGTGCAATAATAAGAGGGTTCAAAAGCAAAAAGAGTGAGAGTGGGGCAACCATCATCACGTCGAACGATTCTTTGAAGGTAATCATCTTCCAAATAATCGATGGTATTGAGGCATAATTTGTTTTTATTTTTGAAGAACGATCGAGGGATAGTTTGGCTGATCCTAAGTTAGCGAGACACCAAGTCAGGGTGATAATTAAGGATCCTCACGTGTTCTTTGAAGGTTCCAAGTATGACAGAAATAAGTCTGGGAGTCAAGAAGGCATTCCATATCCTTTTGGATTCATTCTCTTTTTCACCAATGCCTATAAGTTATCAGGTGAACTATTCGGGTATGTGGGTTCTTTTGGAGAAAGGAGCCATAGTCGTAATGAAGTTATAACGCTTGGCGAACACCAGGAAGTAAGTAAAAAATGCTTCTCAGTTCGACTTATTTTTGTCAGTTGGGGTCAAAAGGTTCAGTCGAACGCCTTCAATGCTTCTGCCACTAAGGGTGATGTTAGTGTCGTCAGGACGCTTGATCTCTAAGGAAGTTTCCAAAGTAGCATTGAGCCATAACTGAAGTAGCCAAAATGGTCCAGTAAGCAGTAGGTCATCTTTAGGTTTGATGTTCCTCAAGGCTTTAGTAGCTTCTCATAGGGATTCATATATTGACCCTAAGATACGTTAGCTAAGGCACACATTTTTTCCCTCATGCAGTTGATTGGCAAGAGTTAAATACCTCTTCGCCACCTTGAGGGATCAACAACAAAAGATGCATATGGATAGCCACAAGGCTAGGAATGCAATGTGTTCTTCAGCAGTGACCTCAAGAGTATCAGTGACATGATAATCTTCGATGTACATAGTGAAGCCAATGCGATTGCTAACAAAGTCAATGTTATCTTCACCATTCTCGTTGGGGTCGAAGTTTTCACTAGTGAGGTATAGGTCGGTGATTTCCACCATGTCGAAAAGTGTGGCGTCAACATTTCGCATGGAAGTTGAAAAATATTGGTGGTGCTTTCCCAGTAGTAAAGGGAAGTGACCAACATGTTTTGGCAGTAGCTCGAGCCGGTTCTCAATAGTTGGATAAAGTCGAAGATACCTTATTCTTTCCAGATTTCACTTATTTTAGCTTATATCTTATCTAACCAATAGATGTAATCATTGTGTTTTTTGGTTGGGGGAGCTGAGCGAAAGACTCGTAAAGTGGTAGTCAGGTATTCTAGATTCATGGGTCCCTTAACGCTAACTAAGGGTTTTGTCATATGATAAACAGGGAAGAAATCCCTAAGCTTAGCGAGGTCCTTTGAAGGGTCATGCATAGGACCCATGATAACATGATTTGTTCCAGAAATGGAGTAAGGGATGAGTACTTGAGATTTATAAATGTGTAGCTTTTCCTCAAAGTTGGGAAGCTCTGGAACATACTCTCGATTCCCAACCACATTGGCGCTAGTCAACATGTTGGCCATGGGGAGTGGACCATTAGCAGCTTTGGTGCTCTTGTTTGAAGGTGCCATTGTTGGAAAACTTGGAGATTTTGAGAAATTTCGAAGAAGAAGATGTTTTAAAGCAAAAGTTCAAAAGACAACGTTGGAAAAGTGTGGAAAGAAGGAAGAAATGCTATTTATATGAGAGGAAGAAAGACTTTTCAGTCTTTATAAATGCACAGTTGACGCGAAACAGGTGGCACATGATATCTCCCTAAAGGAATGATCAAAGCGATCTACTACACATAGCCATGTCGCCCTACAAAATTGGAGCCATGATGAGTAGAGTAATGCGGTATTGGGAAGCACACGTTCTCGAGGTGATGGTTGAAAGAAACGTCATGATGATCATAACGTCAACTCACTAGGTGAATAGTGTTCGAAAAGATAAAAAATGCCCCTATCTCCTAGGTTTGTAGGTCTTTTTGGGGGCTGGGATTTTCGACAAGAGTAAAAATCCCAATAAAAGGGCAAGAGCTGGACGTACACTGATGATGTGTACATGGTATGAGTCTTGGGTCGAAGAAGACTTGAAACTTAGTATTTTTTTGGAATGTTGTGAGAACATTTCGACCATGTAGGATCTCGACAACATCAACTGCGTCGAAGAGGCAGTTATTTGAGCGCAAAGGTATTACGTTCAAACATGAATAACTTTTAGTGGATTCCTTTCTGAAGGACACATGGAGAAAACGCAGAGGCGGGCTACATGCAAGGCTTCACGTGGAAAACGCTGAAGATAGAAACGTTAGAAGAAATTATTCTTACACTTGTATATATAAGAGTTCATTTCTAAAATTCAAGGTGTTCATTTTACTATAGAAATCTCACATAAAACTCAAATTAACAGCGTCTAGAGAAAAGAGTCATGGCTGAGAAAATGTATGAACAATGAAATACCATTTTTTACTTTCAATGCAAAGTCTTTGAAATTATGTTTACTTTCACTATTGTTCAAATTACGTTGCTTTACGCTTACTTTCTTTATATTTTTAACGTAGTCGAAGTCAACATCTTTTACACCCTTTTTCTTACTAGTTCGACCAAGTCGAAGTCAAGTTTTACAAGTACAAAAGCAAAAACAAAGTTTTTAGCACGAAGTTCTAGGATTCACTAGTTGATCCTACAAATAACTTTTAATTAAGAGACTAACGATTGTTTATTAATTTTCAACGTAAACACCTACATATCAAAGTGATATAGTTTGACACAACGAAAATATGCGAAGAAAGAAAAAAGACCGTCCTAACAGCACACATATTCGAACCGAAATGGATAAGACGATCAAAATGGTAAGCTTATGTAGTACATGCCGTTAGCACAGACACAATCGTACAAACTGTCCCAATGTTAGAGCAAACTCCACAACATAATTATTGTATCCACTTTTAGTCCTGATTTTGATATGTAATTTATTTTATGTAACCATTTAGTTTTATATTTAAAACAATATTCTTTTCATAATAGGAGCTTACAACTTTCTTTTACAACAATTAAAACAGCAGCACGAAAAATAAATAAAATAACTAAACACAACAACATATTTAAGAGATTACAACCATCATGATCATATCATCTGAACAATGTGTCATAATACGACAATCAATGTCAGTTTTAAGTGACTCTCAGATACGATGTTCTCCATTATTGTTTAACACCGTAACAAACTTTTCAATTCTTATGATCTTTTCACCGCTCAAATGTCTCAATCTAACCAACGAATCAAACTCCTCTCAAGATGCTCAAAAGTCTCAGTGTTGCAAAATAGAATCTTCACTAGAGACTTTATTACTGAATAAAATAAATTAGCATTTCTTTTGATGATATAAAATATTTTGAGAAAAATTTAAAGAGAGAATGAGAAGATGGGTGACAAATGATGGAGAATGAATAACCAATTTATAAAAAAATAATACAACATAGCAGTTACTATTACCAACATGCATGCGCTGTTGCATTGGTATGACACAAGAGCACGTGCCAAAGGCAATGACGAGCAATTTAAGTACATACGCCACAGGCGATAACACATCCTCAATGTCATTGTTTTTTTTTAAAAATAATTATTTTGATAAATTATTTAAAATATTGATTATTTGAATAATTTTTTTAAAAAAATATGATTATTTAAAAAGAAATCTAGCATAAATATTGTAAAATATTTTATCCATAATAATATAGCAAAGTGAATAATAGTTACATGAAGTTTTGACCCAAAAATAATCCAAAAGAAAAGTTAAAGTGATAGAAAGAAAATGTTAATAATGTAACTATATATAATAGTGTCTCTTAATTATAGAATATTATTAAACATCTTCAACAAAAAAAAAAAGAGAGAATATAATTAACAAAGAAATCAATCTCTAGTAAAAAAAACTACAAATGAATCTACTACTAGAAGAAAAAGCAAAAGGGAAAGAGGAAGGAAAAAGCCAAAGGAAAGATAGGGTAATTGGTTTGCCTTGGCTAGTTGGCTTATCAAACATCTAATAATGATGTTGCATGAATATCTTCCTATGATTGAATATTGACAAATAGAAGAATTTGAACAAGTGTTTTGTTCACCCATTAATTAATTAAAAAATAAAATAAAAAGAGAAAGAATTTGAACAAGTTTGATTGATAATATATCCGTGTTATCAAATTCTCCAAGAAGACAAAAAGAAAGGAAGGAGAGGAATCGAAGGCCGCTAACCTGAACAGATTCCATTTCCTTCTATCATCAATCACCTCACCCTCACCGCATGCTCCCTCTACTCTCACACACCTGATCCCTTCTCCTCCACCTTCTTCATTTTCATTCCATTTTATTTCAATTCTCCGATTTCATCGCAAAATCCCTTACCATGAACGATTTCGATGGCCTTCTGGCTTCCGATTTCGGCCTCAAACCGCAAGGTAAATCCGCTCCAATGGCTCAACCACCTAAAGGATCTTCCAATCATCCTAATTCAACTTCTCTCAACTTCGATTTCGGATCGCGATCCGCTCGTGCATCTGATTCCAGATTCGGATCCTCAACCGCCCGTCACCCGCGCGACGGTGGTAGTTTCGACGATCTGTTCGCCCCAACCGGATCCAAGCCTCGTGGAGCCGATGCGCCGTTCGATTTGGACTCCATGTTTACGGGATCCGGCGGTGATTTCGCATCTAAGTCAGGGAATTCTTCTCCGCCGCCGGTTTATGACAAACCGGTATATGATGATGATGTTTTTGACGGTGTGCCTGGGTTGAAGAGCACGGGGAAGATTAATTTTGATAATGTTTTTGCGTCTCCGAAAACGGAAAGTGGCGCATTTGACGATCTTCTCGATGGATTTGGTAAGGAATCGAAGGGTTCTGGTAGGAAGGGTTCTGAGAAAGAGGATAAAGGTGGTTCTGATTTTGATGATTTACTACCTGGATTCGGAAGAAGTAAACCACCTTCTAGTGACAGGTATATGTATAGTATCTTTTAACACTGTTGTGTTGTTTTGGTAACTGAGATTCTTTTGATATAATGCCATTACTCAGTAGTCACAGCAGTGTTTGTGGTTATGCTTATTATTGTGCGAAAGTATATACCGTTGTCAATTTTGCTTGTCGAAAATTGATCTTGCTTTTTTTGGATTTTAATGGAGCTATTATGGAATATATCTATAGGACTGACTTGGAGGTGGTGGTGTTTTGTTAGTTTGGAATATGTCTATAGATCATGCATTGATTGAGTCTTTGAAACACATTTGAATGTCCTTGCGTTTTGTAATTGCAATCATAAGTTATAAGTTATTGTTCATGTGATATCAGCCTGAGATAATCTATACGTTAGATTCTTAAGTGGCCATAGCACAGTGGAATGATAAGGTTTAGTAACTTTGGTTATATTTTTCTGTTGTGTTGACCATTGAACAAAGTTCAAGGAGTAGGTACTAGTTACTATGAATATATAGAAAAATAATGTTTATTGATTGAAAATCTGTATGGCAATTCAGGTATTGGATAGAGACTTGGACTCACCCCCTAACCAAATTCTTTTAGAAAGGACCCCCTCCTGCAATGTTTTATTGCTTCCTAACTATTCTCTCATCCACTGTCATTTGTCTATCTTTTAGTGCACTTTGTCAATCAAATCATGAAGGCTTTATTTATTTGAGAGTTTCTCACACTCTGAAAATTAAGTTTAGCATTTTTTTCTAGCTCAAGGTGATTGTATTCCTGTTAGAAGTACCTTTTTATCCTAATGTTTGGTAATCATTTTCATTTGTTGTGTGTTTCTCTTTCTATAATGTGAATCTTCATTTTGTTTGGTTCCTGATGTATATAAGGACTACCATGAAGAATTAAACTTATTTTTTGTCTTGTGGTTATGGATGCTTCATCCATTAGGAGCTAGAGATTTAAACTCTTACATTTGAGGATGCCTCAGTATTTCATTTGGGTTTTCAGTTAACAGGAGAACATGAATACAGAAAGGAGGAATCCAAGCCCAACCCCACATTATTAAACAACACTATTTTCCCGCCATCATTTTTAACTTGTTCTTTCTAAAACATATCTGTTTTCCATGAAATAGAATAGAAACAGGATAAAGAAGTTAGAAATCTCTGTTCTTAGCTTTATACACCTTTTGAATTTTAAAATCTAATTACCATATATTTATAGTACGGACTCACTCACACGTAGATGAATCAAATAAATAACTTGATACTTTCCATGTTATCTTTGATGAGCAATTCACAAGTATTGTTTATTTCGTCATTGTTTGATGTTTCATAATCATTTTTACGTATTGTTAATAACAGGCATGCTCCTGATATTGGTTTGTCCTCAGAACCAACTGTCAGTGTATCTAAAACGTCATCCACTGCAACAGAAGACCCTTTCAAAGTATTTGAATCAACGTCACCCCCAATGGATTCATCCACTGGCAAATTTACCGACCCTTTGGAAGAAATTAGTAAATTTAGTAGTTCTAGAAGCACAAAAAATAGTAGTTCATCAACTTCAAATGGCCGAGTATATGAAGATATTGACCCATTTGACGGGCTCGGAAGATCTGTTCCAGCATTCTCATCCGAGAAAAATAGCAGTAAGACTAACAGTTCTCAAGGGTTGAACACAAACACAAGTTGGACTAGAGATAAAGAGCCAGTTGATAAGTTGTCTGAGACGAGTCCAGATAGGCACTCACCAAAAGACACTCCCGTTGAAAGTGATCCGGATTTTCTGCAGCCCCCATTTTACATGCCTACATTTTCATCTGATTCTAATAAACCAGTTGGCCAAAGGTCTACTTCCCCTCCAAATAGTATGTCTCCAAAGTATGAAGAGAACTTGGAATCTTATGAGGATGTATGGTTGACTGTGTCAGAGATTCCTCTTTTTACGCAACCAACCACTGCTCCACCACCTTCAAGACCCCCTCCTCCACGACCGGTGCATATTCCCAAGTCAGGAACAGGGTCACCGTCTTCTACCAATACTAGAAAGAAGGCTAATGAATCTTCTTTCCCAAGTTCCACTCGATTCTCCCATGCTCCTAAGTCTGCTACAGCTGCAGCAGCAGCATCCCCAACATCTCAATTTGATGAACTTGATGATTTTGCCATGGGCAATAGTCATAGTAATGATGTTGAGAGTGGAAATGGTCTTCCTGAAGATGAGTGGGAGAGGAACACGGCTGCTGCAGCCATGAAGGAAGCAATGGATAAGGCTGAGGCTAAATTTAGGCACGCAAAGGAAGTCAGGGAGAGAGAGTATACAAAGGCTGCTAAAAGCAAAGAAGCTGTGCAACCGGAAAAAGATGACAGAGCTATACTAGAGGAGAGAGAAAAACAAGAAAGGTTAGAACGTGAGCGGCAGCAAAAGGAGAGAGAGGAAAAGGAGCAAAGAAGATTAATGAAAGAAAGGGAGGAGAGAGATAAGGCTAGACAGGCTGTAGAAAGAGCTACAAGAGAAGCTCGTGAAAGAGCGGCTGTTGAAGCACGCCAGAGAGCTGAGAGGGCTGCTGTTGGGAAAGCTAATGCTGAAGCTCGAGAGCGTGCTGAAAGAGCTGCAGTGCAAAGGGCACACGCTGAAGCTCGTGAAAGGGCTGCTGCCGAAGCCAAGGCAAGAGCTGAAAAGGCTGCTGCTGAGGCAAAGGAGAGGGAAGCCCGGGAAAAAGCTACAGCTGCAAGGGCTGAAGCTGAAGCACGAGTTAAAGCTGAACGTGCTGCAGAAAGGGCTGCTGCCGAGGCCAGAGAGAGGGCTGCAGCTGCTGCAAGGATGAACCAACAGAAGAATGAAAATGATCTTGAATCCTTCTTTGGCATGGGTGCAAGACCCAACAGTGCTCCAAGGCCTCCTAGGACTAATTCTACAGTGAGGATCTTTATTTTCCTTTTCTTTTTCTTCTTTAAATGTGTAGTTCTATATTCAAATATAATGACCAAACTTGGCTTTGGCATTTGGCGTCTTCCCATTTTTCAACAATAATTTTGAAAAGCTAGAAATTGTAGTTAGAGGGTGGTTATACAGTACCTTTTCTAGCAAAACTTATTTTGATTAAAAGGGCAAGTAAGTATTATGTAGTTATTTAAAAATTTAAAACTATGTATTTTATTTAAACAAAACTAAAATTAAAGGAAGGTTGACAACCACATTTGCTCTTATGATTCTTCTTAAAATTTGGTTGTTAAGTTTCTGAAGCTGTGTTTTCAGGAGTCGGTATTTGAAACCCAATTTCAGGCCGATACAACAAGGAAATCTACTAGTGTATCTTCAAATATGAAGAAAGCATCATCATCTACTAATATTGTGGATGATCTAACATCAATCTTTGGAGGTAGGTTTGCATTTTCACTGTGTTACTTATTGATGCAATAGTGGTTTGTTTTTCTTAAGACTCAATGCTAAATTAGAGAAGGAGAAGAAAAAGCCAGAGAGAGCAGAGAGCTGAATGTTAGTATTGCAGAATGAGTAAAAGGAAAATATACAGACAACAAATATATACATATCTAACATCTGTGTTTTTTGTTGTTGCTTACTGCTAGACCCACTCTTAATAATAGGACCATTATTAAGAGGGGTGTGTGCGGGGGGTGGGGAGGAGCAATATTTGAATGGATTACTATATTGGGGGAATGGGCAACTGTGGAAGGCATGAGAAGGTTAGCAAATATTGGGAGGAAAATCTGAGAGTAGGAGTGGGTTCTTCTAAGTACAGGGATTTTTTCTTTTCTGTCCATCGCCATTTTTCCTTTTTTACAGAAGCTTGGAAGTTGGATCCGATTTCCTATTCCCGTCTTAAAGTTTGTATAGCTATACCGTAACAGAGGCTTCCTTTCAAGCAATTCAGTGGCTATTTTAATTAAATGCTACATAGTGCTACAATTTCCTAAGTTCAATTCAGTTCCCACCACTAACCTGGCTTGTTTTTCCCTCTCTTTTATGGTTTAAGCTGCTCCGTCATCTGGAGAGTTTCAAGAAGTTGAAGGGGAAAGTGAAGAAAGGCGAAAAGCTAGGTTGGAACGCCACCAAAGATCTCAGGAGCGTGTGGTATGTTTCTTGATAGTTGATACAAAGAACAGGTGAAAAATGCACTTTTTTGAACCAGCTTTTTATGTTATGACCATGATATTTTGTACCAGGCAAAAGCATTGGCTGAGAAGAATCAGCGGGACTTGCAAAGTCAAAGAGAGCAAGCTGAGAGAAGTGTAAGTAATGTTGTTTTTCTTTATATTCATGGGTGAGGGGTTTCTGTTTGTATACATGCAATAACTGAATTTACAGTACCTATCCCTTCATCCTTGTTCTAGCCAAAAACTGTTTTGGGGAAGCTTCCAATAAAAATTCAGTTTTTATTGTAATATGGTTTTGTTCTTGTTATGGAATTTTATCTGTGCATTGATTTCAGAGGCTTGGTGAAACACTGGATTTTGAAATTAAGCGGTGGTCTGCAGGAAAAGATGGGAACTTACGAGCTTTGCTCTCCACCTTACAATATGTATGTATTTAGTAAGAGAACTGAATAATATCTGTATGTTTTCTACTCCAGATCCGTGTAGTGCATGCATGGCAGTATGTAGGCATGAATCATCTCTTTTTTTCGTTTCCATTTTCGATTCTTGGATTCAAATTTTAACGCATGCCATGGTGTTCTTGTATTATTGGACATATTTTCTCATGTGTCTTGTCTGGCCATCGATTCACCTTCTAGGGCTAGAAATGAGTGGCTGTGCTCACTTTAAAACTGCTTACTGGTTGTATAGATTTGGAACTTTGAGTTGCTCTGTTCAGTATAGGTGCAACCAATATTTCTATTTCCTACTAAAGATATCATCCATTGCTGCAATTTCTGATCAGATGTTAGTTAGCAGAAGACCACATCCCTATGATATAAGTTTGATTTTCAAAAGAATGTAATGATATTCTTATAACTCAATCAGTCACTTCAGGGCAAGGCGAGAGTCAAAGCAACTTGTTTCCACAATTTTAATACCGTGGATTCTACTGTGGGCCACAAAACACATGGTCCACTGATGGACAACCAAGTTTGATGCCTTGAATAGGTTTTTCAATGTAGGAAATTCTGTTCGGTCCTTATATAATATACTTACATTTGCTTGGTATGGTATTTAAGAGTTAAATATTGCAAGTAGATAAGGAGGTGCACTCCCTAAGTTGAATTATGTGTGAAGGGTGAGGTGAATCTATCATATCTCCTTTTCCCTCATCATTCCCAACCTGTGAGAGGGTAGAAAAGCGATAATGAAAGTGCCATCATCATGGACTTTTTTGACATTTGCCAGTCAGAAGAGAAAAAAGTAAACGAATAATTAGTAATTGCTGGGAAGATTTTCATTTTTTGTTTAGATTGCTGAATTGAGAATTTTCATCTAGAGAGCTTTCAGTTTTCATTGTTAAAAGGGAATTGAAGACGGTAGTATCGAGGGGATTGTTTTGGTGGTCCTAGCTGGTGTGCTCACACTCACATTGGTTTTGGAGGTGTCAGAGTCGCCCAAATCTCTGTTGTTGTACCTGGAACCCATGTCAGGACCTTCACGTTGCAGTTGATGGAGGTTTAAGACAGGATGGAGGAGCCTGAGAAGATCCAGCTGCCCCCGGTCAAGGTTCCCTTTTTGCAGCTATTTGCATGCTTCAATTGGTTCCTCATGCTCCACCACTGGAGATTTCCCTTTTGACACACACTCTGTTCAGGGGTTCAAACCCTAGGATGAAGGTTTTAGGGGAAACAAAAGGACATAAGGCACAATTAACATAAATTCTCAACATCTATGCTACCAGACAGATCTTAACCATTGGATAAAATAGAAGTATATCCAAAACATATTACAAGTGGACCAGTGGTGGACAGTAATCTTCATGCACTCTAAAAGTTTCATGCATTGGTGTTCGAATGAGCCAAATCAGTGCTTTAGCTTTGTGTAATATAGGTGTTACTGTTATTGTTACAGAATTTGTGTGAACTATTTTTTGACTGGAGAATATGTCAATTATATTAATTTGTTTTCTTCATGAATGATGATCAGGTGCTGTGGCCTGAATGTGGTTGGCAGCCGGTTGGTTTAACTGATTTGATTACAGCCGCTGCTGTTAAAAAAGCTTACAGGAAAGCTACTTTGTGTATCCATCCTGATAAAGTGCAGCAGAAAGGTGCCACTCTTCAGCAGAAATATATTGCTGAGAAGGTGTTTGACCTACTCAAGGTATTTCTGTCCATCTTATCTGCTTAATTAAGAAATTTATAAATTTCTTATGGTATTCAGTGGGAATCAATGGGTTTCTGAATCTAGATTATGCTACCATTATTATTCTATGTGGTTTCTTTCTATATAGTATTTCATGGTCAAATTCTCTACATGTCAAGGCAGGATTTTCATTAACCATTTTGTATATTGTACAGTTTTAACTTTTATCCCAAATTAGTAGTTGCTGGGCGGGGTTTACTATGATGTGCTGCTGCCTTTGCAGATTATCAGTTTATTTGTTGCTTGGTTTCACTTTGATTCTTAAACTTTGGGGTGTTTACACTCTGTTAGGGTTCACATGTTTCCTTATCTCCACCCATCTTTTTCTTTCAGCTTAGAATCTTACCACTTGTTTGGTTTTAGAAAACATTTTCTCTTTTCATTTTTAATTACAAAAATTACGAAAATGCAACCTTGTTTGCACTTTATTTTCTATTTCTCAAAACTTTGCCTAGGAAACAAGGAAAATTTGTTTTCACTGTTTTTATACTAAACTTTGAAGAAATGAAAAGAGAAAATATAGTCAAGAAAATTAAACCAAAACCAAACATATTCTAAGATGAGTATCTGGACTTAATTTTCATGTGACATGGTTTAATTGAGTAATGCTGGTTTAAAAATAAGATTGAAGTTCTTGTATCTTGAAGCATTATATAAAATTGTTTTCTCAGAAATATTGAATTGCACAAGACTTTCTCACATTTCACATTCATTTTCTTCTTTTGCTTTGGAGCTGTGATGAGACATTCTATTACACTAATGGACAACACTATATGTTTAATTTTATATAAAAGAAGTACAGCTGAATCCTTGAGCTTTCTGTCAGTCAACCAACAACATACAATGTCGATTTTAGGGTTGTCCTGTATTAACAAACCAAAGTTTGATAGATTTTGGAAAAATTTGTTAATCACACTAATTAGTATATGCACTAAATGACTAAACCAACCACAGCTAAAATATTTAATGCTAACTTCACAGATGAATTGTTGTTGAAACTCTAGTATAATAATATATTGCCAATACTGAAAGCTTGATAATTCATTACAGGAAGCGTGGAACAAATTCAATTCTGAGGAGCTCTTCTAATTTTCAATGAATTTATAATACTTCAAGATAATTCGTTGGACAGTTCTGTTCAGAGGAGACCACAACCCTATTTCTGCTGCCTCCCCGATTGCATAATTGTTTTGATTGAAGTCGTGATGCGTTGTTGGTAACATATTGCTTCCCTGTCTGGCTTTCTTGGTTGTCATTGATGATCTTCCCGGGGGTTGTTGTGTTTCTACATATGTTTTATGAATGTAGCATGTTTTGTTGATGTAAAATATCTTTTTGTGCTATCAATTTTATTATTCATTATCCTTGTCTAGTGATGTGAGAGGGCTCACAAGCCGACAAGCGATCTCTTTTCTTTTATTCTCTTAATTTTGGTTCAAGAGAGGGCCCACCACGACGTGGTACTGGGATGCCCATCTTTTGTACTCGTGATATATAGCACGATGTCTTGAATATATACCATCTTGTGGATTTACATCAAAAACTGAGAATTATACATGAATATTTGTTCTCAAGTTTCTGTATTTTAATTATCTAAGTTAGTGCTGTCAAATAGAGGAATTTGAACAAATTGTTATTGATATAGTATAAATTGTTGTCAAATACTGCTAAAAATTGTGGCGCACTATAGCATTGTTGAGTTTTAGCAACCTCCTTTTTCCTAGATCCGTGATGACAATGCTGCTAAAAACGCAGTGTATTTTCACCAGTTTGTTCAACTATTTTGATATGGTGCTGGTGGCTGTAGAAAAATTGCTTGTCATGAGATGGGTGGTGCACTATTTTGGGATATTTAAAACAAGATATATACCAATATCATAATGTCATAATATAAAGAGAATTTCAAAAGTAATCTTTTACTTTGATTGCAATCTTCTTCTATATTATTTTCCCTCTTAATATAACAAAATTTCCCCCAAATTTCTAATATATTGAAAATATTGAAATTTAAATTAGTTCAAATAATATAGATATTTGAACGGTGAATTATTGTTGTCTCACCGCTACTAATGGATAATTGTAATTTAGATAGAATTTGATGTGATTTTTATTATATAAATTTCTACTAATGCAATTTTTATTTTTTATCTTCGAACAATATTTAAGTACATATTTTCAATAGATAAAATCACATCTACTAGCCAGTCAAATTAGTTTTTATTTTTACCCAAGTCAAATATGTTAGTTTGATAAAAAAGAGTCAAATCTGTTAGTTAAACTATTTTAAGTTTTAACATGTTATCATCAGATCCTTTTGGATTAAATATACTTTTAATTATTAAAGTTTAGTCCCTTCAAAATTGTATTTACAAAAAAAATATATAAAAGGGTGTTTTCCTCCCTAAAAAGAATTAAAATCAAATTGGCAATTTATAGATTAAAAAATTAATATTTTTCTATTTGACTTGTCTATATAATTGAGTTGGAACTGAAATGGAGTATTTATTCATTTTGTTAAATAAATAAGAAAGTGTTATCAAGTATTTAAGAACACTAAGGAGATAGTAAAATATCAACATTAGGGAGGCTAGTTCGTGTAATTGACTTCATTCATTCAAATAAATGATTGAACAAGATAATGGATCCTAACAATTCAATTGAGTTATAAGATAATGATACACACAAGCCAAAACCACAGCTATCATATTCAATACATCACTGCCAATGCAGTAGTTTCTTACATACACCGCAAGAAATTGAAGCTTAATAGTTTGATTGAAATGGTTTGTATTTCTTTAGATCATTCAAGACACCAGCGATTGATCCAACAGCAGCAACAACTGATATTACAAGGCAAGCCACACTAAATATTTGTAAGCAAATCCATCTATTACTCCATTTTGGTATTTTCTTCTGTGAGATATACATCTCCACAGGAAAATAAACAGTTAAAGGCCAAAATCCCAGTGCACCTATAACTCCAACCATGTCATTGAAAAATGGAAGCAACATTGATATAACAGTGGTTAAGATAACAAACATTGTCCTCCATACCAATCTAAATAGGTTCAAGTTGTAAGGCGGAAGAAAAGGAATCACAATTCTGATTTCTCTGTTAATGTTGGACCATCTTTGTGTTGCAGATTTCTCCACAAAGGCAAAGATTGGTTGTGAAAAAACCTGGTATGCTCCAACTAGATGAACTACTATAGCTGCGTTCGCTATGTCTACTAGCCAAAAAGGATTGTAGAAACCAAAACCAGTTAGAAGATTCCCGGGCGCTGCATCTCCAAATGCAGCATATCCCATGCAGCCACAAAGCATGTAAAATGTTGTCGTCACTGCAATACTTATCTTTGTTGCTTTCTTCATTGATTTTGCCTCGGATGGTGGAGATCTCAACGTGTCCTGCGTTAAAAATATTAAATTATATAAGTCTTTCGATAAAACTGTAAATATAACCGAACCACCATAAAGGCCGGATCAAGGTTTAACCGCTTGGTTCAAAGTCATTTCTCAAAGTCTACCTGAATTTCAATGAGAACCACCGCGTATGAATATGCAAAGGCTATGTCACCAAGAGCTTGAGAAGTTTTCCATATCTTTTCAGTCTCTGATACAGCTCCAATGCTGATTCCTGTGAGGCTACCCATGATAGTACCATTTTCTGCTCATGAACCAACAACATATACTATTTTCAGTCTACATAACAAGAAGAAAAATTATATACTATGAAACAAAGGATCTCATCTCGTATATAACCTGCAACTTTGACAATTCCAAGAGCAAGACCAATTATGGAATATGTAAAAGACATGACTGCAGCAACCGACGAGAGCCACCATATTTGATCAAAATCTGGAATTTGAGAAAGGAAAATTTCCATTACGCCAAAAGCGATCATGAAATGGTTGCTTGACATGTGACATGGGTTTTTGTCCTTGGATTGATGGAAACAGTTCGACCTTTTGATCGCCCTGATAAAATTTGATGATAATAATTATAGTTCACACCAGAAATGAAAAAACAATAAAAACTATGAAGATCTAAATACATTGAACTCACGTCATGCTAATAGAAGCAGCAATGGTGTATCCTATTACAATTCCAAATAGATTCAGGTACTGAAATATCCCGCAGAATGTAACATTTACTCCACCAAGAATGGAGCGAACCGCGTCCATGTAAGTATAGTTTCTTTTACCGGAATTGACGTCGCCAGCGCGATAACAATCAGCGAGAAATGAAGAAGTATAGACAGTAACCAAAGAGAATAATATCATAACAGCAGGACCAGCAATCCAGCCTAGCTGAGCTATAGCCCAAGCTAAAGACAACACTCCAGAACCTATCACAGCTGTTATTATGTGTGAACTTGTAGTCCAAACACTTCCTGCATATACATCATTTCAACTAATCAGTAATCATGTTATATATGAATAAATATATTGATTATGTAAGAGTGAAACTAGCTTGAATGAATTTATACCAGTTCGTTTGAGACGGCCGTCGTCATCATAGCATTTAGAGGAACTATCTGGTTGAGAAACTACATCGTCTATGGAACGTTCGATGTCGAAAGATTGATGATGACTAAGGCTAGTTTTTGTTGTGTTTCCAGGCATTTTTGGTGAAAAGATAGTTTTAACACCGCATAAGTTAATAGATGTTGTTATTGGTGCATGTCATTTATGAGGAGAGTTGAAGGTATTTATAGTGGATTTTGTTTTGAAAAAGTGAAAGCTTATACAGTTTAGGAATAAAGGAAATGAGCTCAGAAAGCTGAAAGTGATTGAAACGTAAAAAAAAGAAAAAAGTTAAAAGTATTAATACTTTTTATTCGACAACTAGTAACAAATTATACTAAAAATTGAGTTAATTTTTTTTTGTTATGTTACATGCATTAAGTACTCATCAAATGAAGTATTTATAAACTCAATTATTTTCATAGTATGGAAATTATATCAAGTTATTCTGTTGTTGAATTTTACTCTGAAAGCTGTTGAATCTGTTATGTACTTGAAAGTTTGGTTTGGTCTAGCATGGTAAAACCTCTTGTGATTTTAGCTAGATGTTAATTTTTTTTCTTCATATGATTATTATAAAAATATAAAGAAAATAATTTTTAATTTTTCTTTCAGGCCACTTGAATGGTATAGACGAATCTTGTAAAAAATGTGGTCCATATATGGGCCATATTCTAGTTTTCTAGCATCTCATTAAGCATATAATAGAACAAATTTGAGACATTTGAATTCAGAGATTCTGTTTGCATAATTCAAGAACATTATGTAACTATGTGATTGGCTTGTTCTATATTTGGAGATTAATCGTCGGTAAAATTAAGTGATTCTTAGTATTAATAAGATTGCCTAGAGCGAATATATTAAGACCATATATCGTCTGATTTGAGAGTATTAATATTTAAAGTAAATTTGATTGTAATAAATAGTTGATAGTTTGTTTTCCACTTGAATATTATATTATTGTATTATTGAATAAGATTTAAGAATCTATTCTTCTTGCTCCTCCTTTGATATGTATCTTGTTGATAACTAAAGCAAAATTGTGAGAATAAAACACCGCATTGGTTTCCTTTTCTTTGCTTTTTTGAGTAAAGTGAATGATGAACAGAAGAGCAAATGGCTAGTCGAAGTTCAAAGTGTTAATGATGAAGATTTGTGTGAAATGAGTGAAAGGAAACAGGAACCATTGAATGTGGAAGTTAGGAAGATTTGATCTTAAATTTAAGGTAGTGGTGTTGGCAGTAATGGATAAGTTAAGATTATGTTCAGTGTCTTGTGATCATATATATGTGGTTTTTTTCTAGATTGAATGATAATTCATTTGGCTATCGTTTTAGACCATATAATTAATATGAACATGCTAAGTGTTCATACATTGTGAGTTGGTTGATCTTAATCTGATTAAGATTGATTGATTTTGAGATTTTTAATTGCACGGAATCTAAATTCATAAAAAGCTGCAATGGTAGATAAGTTTATAGGCATGATTTATAATAGTAATAATACTAATAGATTAGAAGCTATATTAAAAAGAATTATCACTTTTGTTTTAGAATTATAAAA